CTATCACTAGCGGCTGTGCAGCAGCTGGCGGCGCTGGAGAGTGAACCGCGGAAGAAGAGTATTCCGTAACCAATCGTTTGGCGTCCATCTACCATTGTTAGTGTTCCCGACCGAAACCGGCAAGACAACGAGCGCGTAACGCAGTGGCTTAGAGCGTTGGACTTGTATCCAACAGGTTACGGCTTCGAGCCTCTGTCGCCGCGACACTTGGTGTGAGATATGGCTGGCTGATGACAGCTGATAAACCAGAAGGGGCCATTCCAGTCTCCTGCATCTTTTTCGGTCATTTTGTTCGGCCTACATCACTAGCCGCTCTTCGGCGGTTCGGAGGGAAATAGGATGCCGTATTTTCCGCACTATAAGGGGCACTTAAAAGACTCTAGGTTTCTCAAAAACGACAGTGCGCCTTCAGAGAGCCATTTATTCATCTATTACTTTTGGTGAATGACCTCGAAGCGATCTGGCTTGGCGCTGCGTTAATCCGTAGTCAGGAGCGTTGCGGAGTAATATGTATCCTATGCATCACCATAATATAACAGTGGGGGTGTGTGTGTGTATGTAACCCAAAGTGGCACCTTTCAAGATACGTGTTTATGACGCAACCTTCAAACTCAAGGCTATCAGCTACGCCGTAGAACATGGGAATAGAGCAGCAGCGAGAGAATTCAACAGTAATGAATGAATGGTACGGAAGCAATAAAAGAGGTAACAAAGTGGCCACAGTTAGACGAAAACATTGAACAGTGAGCAGCAAGTAGAAGGGTTTCTGCAGCCTATTCGAATGAAAGCGGCAACGTTAGCACGGGACATGAATATTAATGACATTCGAGGCGGTCCTTCTTGGTGCTGGATGGACGAGGAGAAGATAAGTGAGTAGCTGAGAAAAGTGAACGTCAAGATACCGAATGGCTTTTTTCCAAAAATCTCCCTCCCTAGTGATTTGCAACTCCGTGCGCACATATCTCAGTGATACTGTCAAAAACCGAGCGTAACAAACTAATTCGGAATTTGCCATCATTCCGGGTGGATTAACTAAAGAACTCCAGCCGCTAGATATTGGTATCGACAGGGCGTTCAAAGTTAAACTGCGAGCTGCATGGGAGTAGCCGATGACAGAAGGCGAACAGACATTCCTCAAGACGGGGCGACAGCTCCGGGCGATTTACACCACTATCTGCCAATGGATCGTGGATGCCTGGATTAAGGTATTAGTTTATCGACGATACCCATGTAAGCATTAAGGAAGTCAAGTTAGGCGAACGAACATCATCTATTAATCACCAGACAAATACGATAATATAAGAGAGGGTAGAGTTAAAAAAAGTTAAAGTAATTGGGGGGGAAGGAGGGAGAGGTGTTAAGGGAGTAAGGGGAGTCAGATTCTAGTCGTAATAAGGGACCAGAGAGGGGAAAGGGAGCAGAAGGCGTCCGACAATTATTTCAGTTCGCCTCGTCGTCTTTGTCTCGCATTTTGTTGGACGCAGGGTGTCATCGTCTCGTGACGACGTGGGCGGCCTAAAGATGTTTGCTGTCGCCGTTTTGTGGCATGGGGACGCCTGCTGTCGCTGTCTCCTCCCCGTCTCGTGGTGTGGTAGGAAGCGTGTTGACGGATGTTGAATTGGTCTTCGCCCACGGGAGCCTTAGTGCCTATACAAACGCGCTCTGCACGCATAAGATCGGGTTAGTGAGCCGTATGGCGACTGCCTCTGCCGTCGCAAGTATCTGGGTACGCAGAAGCCCTGAATGTTTCACCGGTACTTTATACATTACTCAACTTTGTTCTGGGTTCTAATGGAGGCCGGCATCTTCAGTGAACTGCCAGGTAACAGCAATGACACTGATTTGGATAATGACGAGAGAGATCCGAGCATGATGGATGAATTCCAATCTACCTTTTTATAAAACGAAAATTATATTTATGGCCACTGCTGCCTGTAAAGATGCTCAACTTCTGTTGTCCTGAAACCGCTTGATCTTTATATCAAAATCGCTCAAGATCAGCAAATAAAAGACAAAATGGGATGCACACCTAAGTGTGTGCGCCA